AAGTAGACTAACAATGTTGTGATAGTTTCAGGTGAATAGCAAAGCGACTCAGCCATACATATACATATATCCTTTCTTCTCCAAAATCCCCTCCATCCAGGCTGCCACATAACACTGAGCAGAGCTCTATGTGCTATACAAAAGGTCCTTGTTGGTTATCCATTTTTAACACAGCAGTGTGTACATGTCCATCCAAAACTCCCCAACTCTCCCTTCCCTCCATCCCTCCCCCTGCACCTGCCCCCCAGCAATCATAAGTTTGTTCTCTAAGCCTGTGAGTCTATTTTTTCAATCAATTATCATTCTTTCCATTTGGGTCCTAGAGAAAGAATATGGAAGCTCCTGACATGAAAGAATTTCAAGTGGAGGGAGTAATAGGAATTCTCTGAAGGTAGAAATGGGAAGCAGAATAGAGAAAAATATTCTGGCTTCAGCAAAGGTGTCAGTGACTGGGATGCAACACAGCACAAAATACTGACTCATATCCTGTTAGTTTCTTCAAATTGCTCATTTTCAAAAGGATAACTATTTAACTAAGATATGGTGGGAACTATTGGTTATAAAAAATGGACTTGCTAACATCATTCAGACTACTGAGCTTATGTTGTAGAAAACAGAGTCTGGACTCCATACCATCCAAATACTTTCCCTGACACTTAGGTTATGTTGATTTCACATGATTTGGAGTTACTCGTCTTTTCTCAGATGTTAAAAAAATCTATAAAATTTTATAAACTCTAATGAAATATGTCTAATCTATTTCTAGCATCTATCCCTGGGTTATAAATAAATAAACCATCCAATCAATTATACTAAATTCTTTGACTGTAGCCACTACAGACTCACAGCAAAGTAATATACCAGACGAAGTATTTTCAATCAAATTATTTGTACAGCCCTTCCATATGACACAGAAATTTTCCCCACATTTGAGCTGATGTAGTGATAAAAAGCCTAATATTAATGTAATCAGATAGTTAGAACTTATAGTTCAAACTCTGAAGTCCAACTCACCAGATTAAAATGTTGGCCACACGTTTACTCTCTGTATTGTCTTGGACAACCTACTTTATTTGTCTGGATTTTCATCCTCACTGAAAAAAAAAGGAACTTAATGAATTGTACTTATCCAATTGGACAGTTTGAGTTCACAGTGATGAAGTATATATAGAGAGTGTTTGTTAAATCATTAGGATCAAATTAATAAGAGATATTTTATGCTTCTTGGCATAGTACTGCATAGACAAGGAAATTTCCTTTAAATTCATTAAGAATCTGCCTTCAATGCAGGAGACCCTGGTTCAGTTCCTGGGTTGAGAAAATCTTGAGAAAGGTTGAGCTACCCACTCCAGTATTCTTGGTTTTTCCTGGTGGCTCAGAGGGTGAAGAATCCACATGCAATGCGGGAGACCTGGGTTCAATCTCTAGATTGGGGATATCCCCTGGAGGAGGGCATGGCAAACTAATATAGTATTCTTGTCTGGAGAATCTCCAAGAACAGAGAAGCCTGGTGGGCTACAGTCCACGGGGGTTGCAAAAAGTTGGACATGACTGAGTGACTAAGCACCGCCTGGTACAGCTTCTAGGAAGAAAAAAAAAAAGCATGCTGTTAAGCTGTCTACATTTTGAAGAACCTAAAGTAAATGATGTCAATACACAAATTCTATCAAAGGCGTTCTGTTCAGGCAAGAAGAAATTCCTTGATCTATGAAGAATGCTCTGTAGCATGTACCCACTGAATCATTTCTACAGTTTTTAAGAATCCTATCCAGACTGAGTCACATTCCATGCTACTTATGTCCATTGTGCCTACAATGAGTAGCTTTTCTTGATCTCTGACCTAAAATTTAAATTCAGTATAGAGAATCATGAAAATGTGGCTTAGGTCCAAGAAGCAAATATCATGTAAAGTACCCAATGGTATCTTGCATATTTTGACAGAAATGTTCCAATAAGCATTTAGTGGGCATGACATCATTTAGTTATCACAATTATCCAATGAATTAGGTATTATCTACATTTTACAATGAAGGAACTGAATCTCAGAAATATTAACTTGCCCCAGGCACATAGTTAGGAAATGGCAGAATTTGTATTTGAACAAGTATTACTCACTTCAGTCATGTCCAACTCTTTGTGACCACATGGACTATAGCCTGCAAGGCTCCTCTGTCCATGAAATTCTCTAGGCAAGAATACTAGAGTGGGTAGCCATTTCCTTCTCTAGTGCATCTTCATGACCCAGGGATCAAACCCAGGTCTACAACATTGAAGGCAGATTCTTTACCATCTGAGCCACCACTTGAACAAGGCCTAGTCATAATCCAAGGCCAATTCCCACTACACTAAACTGAATACCGAGCATCTCTTCACATCGCCACACCAGTCTCCATTCCAATACCAAGAGTCTGTAGCCCCCGAGTCCACACAGTTTCTCTCTAGAAAAAGTTCCAATCAATGTGCTCCGTACAGGGTTAGATTAATAATGGTTCCTTCTTCAGCTAACTTCTCCTTAGGAGAGTGATCATGCTCATCCCAGAAAGAATGCGTGGCTCAGAGTAGTTGAACCCTTCCCTCTTTGAGTTGCATTAGTGACAGTCTGCTCTGCCAACGAGTTTCATTTATGTCCGCGTGATTGGCTGCGACTGGAATCTCTCGAAGCTGCCGTGAGGAGGAGGTCTCCTTATTGCTGTCAGTTCTGTGTTGCTGCCATCGCTGCTACGGCCAGAAGCTTTGTGTCAGTGTTTTCTGCAACAGGAATACTCCGATGTGATCGCCACGTGCTCTGGTGCTATTAGCAGAATCAGAGTGTTTGTTCAGCTTCTTTCAGACCTGTATCAGCTACCTCTCAACTGTGCGCCTTTATAGAAGCACCTGTGTAAGTGGTCGTTTATGGATTTTAAATCTTCCTCTTTGGGATGACCTCTGCCTAACCTATTCACAGAGCTGACAGGTAAATCAACACTAGCTTTGCATAGAGATACTTGTCAGACATACTTGCCAGCCCACTTCAACAAAGGACAACACTTGGCTTTTAAGCCTGTCCATTAATGTAAGATACGGCTTGTGTCTTTCCAGATACAAAACAGCTTAATTTCTCAGTTTTGGATGAATAGCTTTTCTAATATGTCATAGGTTTCAGAGTTTATCTACACATCCCTGCCTTCACCCTTCATATTAGTCTCTGAGCTTGCTAAAAATGTTGTTAAATTTTACTGAACATTTTCTATACGCAAGGTCATGTGCTGAGCACTTTCAAATTACTAACTTATTAGGTCTCACAATGGTCATACCATTATCATCTCAATTTTGAAGCTGAATAAGCTGAAGTAGAGAATGGTTGAAAAACTTGCACATAGCACACAGCTGGGATTCAAACATCCTTCACCAACACAGCTAAGGAAATCTGATTTCAGAGTCCATGTTCGTAACTACTGCTTTATGTTGCCCTGAAAGTGAGAGATCCATTAAGACCACATCCAAGCTTCTTAGTAGCCAGGCTGTTCTGAACAAAGTGAATGAGTCGTCACATATTTGAGCCCTGTGGTTTCATCATGTTCGTATTTAGCACGCACTTCATCTCTGACTACCACCAACATGCTCTCCTACCCTGATCCATACTAAACATTGTGGTGTGGGAGAAGACTTTGAGAGTCCCTTAGGCAGCAAGAAGATCAAACCAGTCAATCCTAAATGAAATAAACCCTGAATATGCATTGGAAGGACTAATGCTGACCTGAAGATTTGATACCTCAGCCACATGATGACAAGAATTGAGTCATTGAAAAAGATCCTGATTCTAGGAAAGATTGCGGGCAGGAGGCAAAGGGGGTGGCAGAGGATAAAGTGGTAGGATGGCATCACTGACTCAGTGGACGTACATTTGAGAAAACTCTGGGAGACAGTGAAAAACAGGGAAGCCTGTCAAGCTGCAGTTCACGGTGTCTGCACACAAAGAATCAGATGCGACTTAGCGACTGAACAACAAAACATACTGTACACACAATGGTGAGGGAACATGTTCTCTTTTTGTTCCTTCCAAATACTGAGTTGGCTTCCAAAGTTTGTTTGCATTTTTCTATAACATCTTCCAGAAAAACCTGAATGAACTTTTGGGCCAACCTATAATTTTCAGTTTTAATCCAATTGTGTTGGGAGGGGGGAACTGTAACATAAAACCCATAAAAATGTGAAATAAAAATAATAGTAATAATTGCTTATGATGTAAATAAAGTAAATTTATTTCATACAAAGAGTATTTTCCCAAATCACACACCCAAAAACACTTAAATAGTGAAAAGAGGAACCAAAATAGCAGAAATGTAGTGAATATGCTAAACCTGAACTGATCATATTCAAACATCTCTGACTACTCCATAGTTATGAAGTTTATGGTGGTGAAATTCAAAACGGTCTTGCACTTGTCAAAGAATAGGTTCAATGTAATAGTTAGCTAAAAGAGTGCTGTATTACAGTAAATAAAATAATGATGGACAGTGAGGAGACACAGATTTGAGTTGTGGTTTGATGCTATTAACTATGTGAGCAACCTCTGATACAGCTGAAGGCAGCGGAGTTCACAGGACTAAATGGGTTTCCAGGTGTCTTTAAACTCTAGTACTATATGTACTTCTGATATTAGTAGCCTGTTACCTTTCTCTATTACAGCATGTTATAATAAGCCAGACTCAATGCTTAGTGTTTCCACTGAGAATAATCAGTAGTCAAAGTGTAATGTGAACTTTTTAAGTATTCATGTTACTGCCTGGTGGTAATTCTTATTGCTCTATGATAAATAGTGTCCTAGTGACCTAAAATAGTTAACATACTTTCCTATCAGCTTACCACCAGTTTGTTTAGTCGCTCAGTCTTGTCCAACTCTTTTGTGACTCCATGGACTATAGCCCGCCAGGCTCCTATGTCCATGAGATTTTCCAGGCAAAAATACTGGCATGAGTTGCCATTTTCTTCTCCAGGGGATCTTCCTCACCCAGGAATCGAACCCGAGGCTGCTGCCATGTCTCCTGCATTGCAGGCAGGTTCTTTACAACTGAGCCACTGGAGAAGCCTAGCTTACCACCAAAAATACTCAAAAAGGGGAAAAAAAAAAAAGTAAAAAATTTTCTCATTGGAGACAGTACAGGCCTGTTCATTCACTCACAAACATAGGCAAAAGTAGTTTGTGTTTAGAGAAATAAAAGATCTTATTTTTCAGGACTCAAGTTATAGAACTTAAAATCTGAGTCTCCCTACACATTCTGCAGATTCTTCACTCACTAGGCAATGATGACCCACCAGTAACACAGCAAGTTGGCTCATAAGTGTTAGAAGAAGTTTCCAGGAGTTGTGACTTGGGTGTGACGTAGGCCAAAGAGCTACAGGAACTGGATCCAGGGCTCTGAGCTTGGCACTGGCTACAGTCACATTCCAGAGTCTGGCAACTCTTAGACACATACGTCTTGGGTGGACAAGACTTTGCCATGTTGCTCACAGGTTGGCAGCTCTGGACTACAAACCCCGTTTGCTGGCTACTTCCTGACTGGCAAGGCTGAGAAACACACTCCAACACTGCCGAGGAACTTCTTGACTGGCATGCTGTCCTTTCACAGGGCCTGGAATTAGAACAAGTTGTTTGGACGACTCTGGAGAGACAGGCATTTTGCACACAGCTCTCAGCTCTGTGTAATTCCTGTTCACCTTCGGGTGCTATGCAGCTGGTGGTCTTCCTGCAGGTTTCTAGAAAGTTGTCCAGGAGCCAGGTCCTGCTGTAGCAACTGCTGGGTAAAAAGAATCCATCTTCAAAGTTTGTAACATTCGATTCATGTATGATGGCAGAGAGAGGTGGGGCACTGTAGAAGCTCTTGAGCGACTGGACAGGTCTCTGGGTCATACTGTGAAAATCCTTGATTGAGTCGGTCCCAGGGACCCAACATGTTGGCCTGAAGATCCAGTTCATTACTGAGGAGGTTATATACGCTGAAAACTGGGTGTTGGCTTCTTCTCATGACTCTTTCTACTCCATTGCTTAAGCTTATTGGAAGGATAGCATCTCATTAGCACTTTGCTTAGTTATATATGAGGATGATGTTTTATTAACAAAGAAGCCGGTCCACTTTGAATCTTCAAAATAGCTTTCATGTTAGCCCCAAACATGACTCATTGGGGTGGGGCTTGTCAAATATGAGTCCCAACAGGTCACCAAGCTAACATTTTTTGTTTTTTTTCGTTAGTCACCGTGACTCTCCATATTGGTAAATGGACTATAAGAATATATGTAGAAATAGCCAATTGAATAATGATTAATATTGAGCACTGGCATTTTGAGAAATGGCAGCTTAGCAGAACTTGATATTATAATCAAAACATTTTTCAGTAACAGGTTGATTTGATTGAAATTGTCCTCATTCTCCTTCAAACTCTTCACCCAAAGTATTGAATTTGACCATTGCCCTATAAACATCTTTCCCTTTGTCTAACATTTCATTCCCCTCATCTTACTGAAAGTGAAATTTAAGTGTTAACTCTTTTTAAAGCTTTCCCCTGATTTTCCTGGTTAGATATTAGGCTTTGGCATAGTCAATAAAGCAGAAATAGATGTTTTTCTGAAACTCTTTTGCTTTTTCGATGATCCAGCAGATGTTGACAATTTGATCTCTGGTACCTCTGCCTTTTTTAAAACCAGCTTGAACTGCTTGAAGTTCATGGTTCATGTATTCCTGACAGAATGTGGTCCACTGGAGAAGGGAATGGCAAACCACTTCAGTATTCTTGCCTTGAGAACCCCATGAACAGTATGAAAAGGCAAAATGATAGGATACTGAAAGAGGAACTCCCCAGGTCGGTAGGTGCCCAATATGCTACTGGAGATCAGTGGAGAAATAACTCCAGAAAGAATGAAGGGATGGAGCCAAAGCAAAAACAATACCCAGTTGTGGATGTGACTGGTGATAGAAGCAAGGTCCGATGCTGTAAAGAGCAATATTGCATAGGAACCTGGAATGTTAGGTCCATGAATCAAGGCAAACTGGAAGCGGTCAAACAGGAGATGGCAAGAGTGAACGTCGACATTCTAGGAATCAGCGAGCTAAGATGGACTGCAATGAGTGAATTTAACTCAGATGACCATTATATCTAGTACTGTGGGCAGAAATCCCTTAGAAGAAATGGAGTAGCCATCATGGTCAACAAAAAGAGTCTGAAATGCAGTACTTGGATGCAATCTCAAAAATGACAGAATGATCTCTGTTAGTTTCCAAGTATGCTTTACATTTTTTTTTTAATTCAGTGCTTTGTTTTTGATAGAAGAATGATCAGCTCCCACATTTATAATGCTATTATGCTGCACCTAGCATAGTTTCATACTCATAGCCCAAGACCTAGCAGCAGGATTTCTCTAACATATATTGTAATTTATTGAGTTCAGCTTATGACAGTGAAATGGCAGAAGTATATTTTTAGCCCAGCACTCTGGTATATCTCTCTTGGTCTGAAGCAAAACAAGAACACTCAGGAAATTTGAACAACCCTTATATAAGCTCCTCTTTAATATATGATGGACCAAGGATATTATATACTTGAAAGGACACCTCTGAGTGTCCACATTCAGCTTGACAGGTTATACACTCAATTTGTGTATAATGTTTTTGTAATACAGGCAAATTATTTATAATTTTGCATGACCACTTTTGTGAGATGAAAGATGCCCTCCACATGAACCCTATAACAAGCCATTTAATGTTTATGCACATTTGTATTCATCATTACACAAAAGCTTCTCTTCAAAGCAGTAAATGGATTCTCATTGCTCTTAAAAATGAGACCCATTCCCCTACAGCACCATCTAAGACCTGCTTGCTGCCTATTTTTCTTTCTCCAAATCTCACCACTCTCCTCTGCCCAGAATGCTCTGTTCTCCCAAGTCTTCACCTACTTCCTTGAACTTGCCAAGCCTTCCCTTGCTTCTGTATTTTGCACATGCAGTTGTCTATTTCATTCCTTCACTGCCCTCTCCCTTTCTATATACGGCTCCCTTCCTCAATTTTTGTGTCTCAACTTAAATGCTCCTCTTAAGTTATTTCCTTTATCTTTCCAGTAGAAAAAAAAAAATCACATTCTCGGAGTATCATATTTTTTTCCTTCACAATACTTATCTCAGCTTATAATGATTTCGTTTCTTCAGTATGTCTTTGTCATTACACTGTAATATCCATAAAGGCAAGAAATATATATCTTTCTCACTACTATATCCTTAACTCTAAACGCCATGCCTGGCTGGTACATAACAAGAGCTCCATCAGTGTGTTTTGAAACATTAATTAATAGAAGTTGCTAAGCAAAAATTCACTCAGATTGCAGCTAAAAGCCTTAAGGTATATAGTTCTGACACTGGAACATATCCAGGAATTGGCAAGGGTGCACGGGTTATAAAAAAGAAATAATAATAACCATGCCTGCCTCTCAACCACCCCTCAGTGAAATAGGAAGAAAATCATTAAGGAAGGTTCTTATTAGCTGAATCAATTATTTTCAAATAACATTTGTTTGCCCATAGAAACAGCAAAGGCAAATGTTTTTGAAAGCATTTACCAAGCAAAACGGCAGTACTGTTCACTGTCAGCCGAGTCCTGTTGCCAAATTCTGAGGGGCAAAGACAGGACACCATCCAGGCCAACATTCACACAATTGTCTCCAGCAGTTAACCTCTTTATTAACCTCACAATGTGTAGTAAATTAGTGCATACGCATCCGGTTCCAAATCTCCACATGAAGACAGTGTCAGTTGCGAGTGGTTCTGTCATTTACGAATAAGGCAGTTCCATGAGTTCTTTTCTCTTTGGGATGAGGCATTAACTGGAACATTCTGTCTAATTAAGTGTTGAATTAGCAGGTGTTCCAGTATATAGTTCTGATTTTAACTGGTGCTGAGTTTATAGAGGGAGTGCCTGGCATATCTCAACAGAATGACTTAGGTTAGGACAACTAGTCACCTTGGAATCATTTTCATTCAACTCACTAAAAACTAAGCATTAGTTCTGCAGGCACTTGAAAATGATAATTATGTAGTCTATTTCCTAGAATTCTTGAGAAATAAGTAGAATAATTATCTGATGGCTTACGGCGACTGGATTCTTTGCTACTAAATAGTTGAACGGCAGTTTACTGGCCTTGAAGTGACATGATTGCAGATGCAGTGTCACCTCCTAACCACCAGAGGGCGGAATATCAACATTTGCAGTGGCATGCTAAGTCACTTCAGTCGTGTCCAACTCGGCAACCCTGTGAACTGCAGCCTGTCAGATTGCTCTGTCCACGGAATTTTCCAGGCGAGAATACTGGAGTGGGTGGCCATTTCCTACTGAGATGATATGTACGATACCAGACTGCTTGCCACATTTTGAGGGATAAATGAGTGAAAGTATTTCTAATCAAATTAAAGATCATCATACAAACCAAGATGTTGTTCTTGTGACAACATCAGTCTGGGGTGCTACCATACTGTAAAGTAAAATAAAAGTCTTTATTTGTGTTTTTGAGATTATGTTGTTTACAGCTGTAAATGTCACACATTCTGAGATCCTTTTAAGGGTTGGATTGTGTTTATCATTTCCATTAAATGTCTAGCCAGCCTGTCTCCATCTCTCGAGAACTTAGCATATGGTTGCTGAAGGTTGAGTAGTTTACATTGTTTTTATATTGTTTATGTTGCTACTTTGGACTTCTAATCACTGGTACAGCTGTATCAAGGTAAGCAAAAATTCACAAATTAAAGTCACCCTTCTGCATTTAGAAAAGGCAGAGGAACCAGAGATCAAATTGCCAACATCTGCTGGATCACAGAAAAAGCAAGAGAATTCCAGCAAAACATCTGCTTCTGCTTCATTGACTACATTAAACCCTTTGACTGTGTGGATCACAACAAACTGGAAAATTCTGAAAGAGATGGGAATACCAGACCACCTGAACTGCTTCTTGAGAAACCTGTATGCAGGTCAGGAAGCAACAGTTAGAACCAGACATGGAACAACAGACTGGTTCGAAACTGGGAAAGGAGTACGTCAAGGCTGCATATTGTCACCCTGCTTATTTAACTTATATGCAGAGTACATTATGAGAAATGCTGGGCTGGATGAAGCACAAGCTGGAACCAAGATTTCCAGGAGAAATATCAATAGCCTCAGATATGCAGATGACACCATCCTTATGGCAGAAAGTGAAGAGGAATTAAAGAGCCTCTTGATTACAGTGAAGGAAGAGTATGAAAATTTGGCTTAAACCTTAATGTTCAAAAGGTGAAGAACTTGGCACCTGGTCCCATCACTTCATGGCAAATAGATGGGGAAACAATGGAAACAGTGAGAAACTTTATTTTGGGGGGCTCCAAAATCACTGCAGATGACTGCAGGCATGAAATTAAAAGATACTTGCTCCTTGGAAGAAAAGCTATGACCAGCCTAGAGAGCATATAAAGCAGAAGCACTACTTTTCCAACAAAGGCCCATATAGTCAAAGCTTTGGTTTTTCTGGTAGTCATGTATGGATGTGAGAGTTGGACCATAAAGAAGGCTGAGCACCGAATAATTCATGCTTTTGAACTGTGGTGTTGGAGAAGACTCTTGAGAGTCCCTTGGACTGCAAGGAGATCCAACCAGTCCATCCTAAAGGAGATCAGTCCTGGGTGTTCATTGGAAGGACTGATGTTGAAGCTGAAACTCCAATACTTTGGCCACCTGATGCAAAGAGCTGACTCATTAGAAAAGACCCTGATGCTGGGAAAGATTGAGGGCAGGAGAAGGGGAAGACAGAGGATGAGATGGTTGGATGGCATCACTGACTTAATGGACATGAGTTTGGGTAAACTCTGGGAGCTGGTGGTGGACAGGGTGGCCTGCATGCTGCAGTTCATGGGATCACAAAGAGACATGACTGAGCGACTGAACTGAA